TCAGGCATTCAATTGGGAAAAATGGCATTAATATACGAGAAAGGCTGATTCAGTCACCAAGCGGGATAAACGCTGAAGAAGAGGGTAAAGAATCCACAGAATATCTACCCAATCCATCTTCTGTACAGAGCAAACACGCTAGGGATTCATCTTTCAATCGGACCCTCACAGTGCTTTCTTGCTGCGGTGACAACCACTTCCATTCTAATTCTGTCACTATCTTACCAACACATCTTATTTCCTACGAATTTCATTTGAAAAGTTTAAAATATATCAAGATGCGATCGGGGCGAAAGTAGTATTGTGACAGGTAGGGTAATTTACAACGCGCACGTTTCAGGAATCGAATTCGTCATCGTGCGTCGTTTAGGAGAACCAAGCCGTTATCCTGCCTAGGCCGATGTCAGACTTTGCGAATCGCGCGATTCGCTAGCGTCCGCGGTCGCGTTGCGGTACCAGCCAATTGAGTGATTCACTGGCCGCGACGCGACCGCAGACGCTAGCGAATCGCGCGATTCGCAAAGTCTGACATCGGCCTAAAGTGGTCCTTTGAATCGCGACTGCAATTTTTTTCAGAATCAGCGTCGCAAAACACCCGTAAAGGCGGAAGTACTAAGAAAAAACTTCTCATTGTAATAAAAAACCGTTTCAGAAAGCAAACGAAAAATAAAATAAATAGCAAAATGTGCAAATAGCGAAAGAAACCGTTCCAGTACTTAATAAGATAATTTCAGGTGTAATGAACGATACCCAGCCGTCGGGTGCATACATCTTCCGGCCGGATGGAAAACCTGTTGAAGTAGGAAAAGCTCAGCTAGAAGTTATAAAGGTGACCATTCTAAGCATAATTATGAATCGCAGTATATGTATATTTATATTTGGCTGAGACTGATTTTTAGGGTAATCTTATGCAAGAAGTCCGGCAGACATTTAACTCGTGGGTTTCGCAGACTATCAGGCTCAAGAAGGGTGCCAAGCACGTCGAATTTGACTGGATTATAGGTCCAATACCGAAGGAGTCGAAGTATGTTTTTCACCAGAAAATTCATGTCTTTACTGGACCGCTGCAATAGCTGCCATTCTTACCAATCGCAGCATACGTGGCGTGTGCATCCTCTAATGACCCATACCTCCTGATGAGATAACCATGGTAGTGAGTAGAATGTCCAAATCAGGGATAACCGCCTGGTGCGTAATCGTCAACTACTGGGGAGGGGGAGGGGAGGGGTTCGGCTTATTGATAACAGGATACTTGGTTGAACTGATATTATTCTCAGAAAAAAAAGTGGAACAAGATCCCTTTGAAACTGCATTTTTTTACAAATTTATCTTATGAATTTTTTTGCTATCTCCCTCAGTAGTTTTGAACATACTTCCCTCTCTGTCGACAAACTTTGGGAGATTGTAGGTGCGGTAGCGGTCGAAAATTTGAGAACTTTTGTGTTTGAACTAGCGCGGCCGAAACAAACAACAAACAAAATGTCTCAAATCCTTGTATTGGTGTAAAATTAAGTGGAGAATACGATGTGTAACATGTTTTTACGAAACAGGAAATTTGTTGAAGAGAAAAGTTCCGAGAAATTTCAATAGTCAAAAATTGGGAACTTCCTAGTTTCCTCGTCATTATAATTTCTAATCTTCCATGCTCGCTAGTTTATATTACATTGTATTTAATTATCGGTGTCATGTGATTTTCAAGTGAACTCATGTAAAAAAGCACTATCCTCATAGGA